ACGAGCGTCAAGGGCGAGCTTTTGACGCTACCCCGCTCGGTTGAGGCGCAAAGATCGCTAGTTAAACTGCACCGGTCAGACCCGACTCAGCCGGTGTTGATACCACCAGGCTCTGCAGGGCCTCCATCCCGAAGATGCCTGCCATCTTCCGAACCGACTCGAACTGAGAGTCGTTCATATGGGAGAAGTCGTTCCTATCCATGGCAACGAACTTCGGAGGATCAGGTAGTCTACCCGCGATGGCGTGGATTGACTACAAGTGCTACCAAGTGTGACGGGGTCACACAGCACCTTGCGCTAGAGGAAGTTATCTTCCGAGAGTATACAAACTCTCAGTGAACGGCAGTTCACAGGTCCCCTCTTTAATTAAAGAGAGCGAAGTGACCTAAATAAGGTAGATTGTAAACTGAGTATATTTATAGGTAGGTTAAGTTTGAGGTTAATACAAACTATCAGTTACCTATAGAAATGCAATGTCATTTAACCAATGGTTGGTTTTGAATGACCTTGGTACCTTGTACCAAATATCCCGGAGTATGACATGTCATACTCCTGAAGTGTGAAGTGTCACACTTCATGTAACCAGGGTACACTTAGTGCTACGTACCCCGTTACAAATTCCTACCAATCCGACCATATTTAGTTGGAATTTTTTCAGAATATGTTGTACTCTTTACAAATATCCATACAGTAGCATATTCTTAAAATATAAGGAAGTTCCCAGCCCGAGGTGGCGGTTGGCAGCTGCTTCTAAAAGACATCATTTTGCAGAGCTGTGACCATGTCTATCGCGTCGCTAGCGCCATCTAACAGTAAGAAGGCCCGGGTGACGGCGATCAACTCGTTCAACACGTTTCTTTCTCCAGAAAACATCACACCAGAGCATGTCCAACAGCTTATCGACGCTGACAAGACCGGTAGGGTACTTCAAATTGTGCTAGATAAATATGCGTATTCTCTAGCTAGATCGACAGACAAAGCTCGATCTACCAATACATGTCTAGCCTATTTCGGAAATGTAAAGACCTGGTTGATCGATAAATACCCACAGCAAGGGGGGGCAGTAAAGCCCCAGCTGCAGAAGATCCTGTCTGGGCTTGGTAAGTACTGTACCAATCGCGAGGATGAGGCTTTTGAAAAGAAAGCTCCACCGTGTTCCAAGCAAGATCTAGAAAATATCGTTCGCCTACTTTATACTTCTGAATCTGCTGAGAGTATCTATCGGGATGCAGCTCTGGTTGTGATGCTGTGGTATTTATACGGACGTAGCTCAGACGCAGAGCAACTTGAAAAAAACCAGCTCTCGATTTTACCTGGTAAGATCATTGACTATTTTATTTCTTTAAATATTGACAATTACGCTAACTGGAGCCTTGCAATATGTAGGTGGCGTACTCTTCCTACGATTTAAGCGGATTAAAACAGCTTTGTTACCCGGTTGGGGGGGTTGTTCAAGGACCCGACAAGTTTTTTAACTTGTCCACTATTCGTTTTAGCTGCTGCTCTAATCATACAGAATGCGCCAAGCAAGCGTCTATTTCCTCAGTTTATTAGTACAAGACATATCGGAGCTAATGCTGGCGATGTAGAAGACCTCAGTCTCGTAGAGCTTCTCGAAACAGACGACAGCCCCGCATCCTTGCCAGACCTGCAACAGTCGCCAGCTACCAGATCGGTTCCTGGTGCACAAGCGTACGTGAACCGATTACTGGTTCGAGTCAAGAACATTGCAGATCAGAAGCAGGTAAAACTCACACAAGGACATACCTCCCACTCTTTTCGTCGAGGAGCTGCCATGCACGCCAACGATGGAACTCTTGCAGAAAACTAGATTATAGAGCGGGGCGGTTGGCAGCTTGACCGCGTCAATAAGGCGTTTGGGTACATGCTGGGTACAACGCAGGCAGATCAGCAAGTTGTGCGTGTCCTGAGCGGATGGAAACCAAAAGAAGGCGCACGCCTTCCTTCGTTGCGTATCTTGGAGCCGCCTGTGCTGTTCCGCGCCCAAGCACTGCATGGTCAACTTTTCACGAGCTCCCTGGGCTTTGCAGAGCCTGGCATGAACCTAAACGAAGACGTTGCAGAGGTCTTGTCAGCCACCCTCATCATGCACTACCCGGACATGCTGCTGCTCTCACGCGAAGGAGCACTGGTTGCCCGCATTCGGGCGGCCATGTCATCGGGGAAGCGGAAGTACTTGCATGGAGCAGCACAATCCGCCGTGCTTTCATGCCACCATCAGCGATAACCAAGCCCAGCGTTAGCGACTCTCACTCTGCGGAGGTGTTAAGCCTCATGAAGCGCCAGTCCGAGCAGATCAGCGTTTTATCCTGCAAAATCAGCGCCTAGAGGAACGACTGTTAGCTGTAGAGGCTTAATTGCACTCACCGTCGGCTCCAGCCAAAACTGTTGCGGGTTGTGTATCACAGCCTGGCCAACAAATTGCCATCCGAACTGTTCGTCCGAAGAAGAAGGGCGCGCAGTCTCTTGCAGCAGTCTGGTACGAATGGTTTACGGCCGAGCCCCGCGTTTATGCCTCGCGCTCTGTGAAGAAAACGACGCTATACGAGCTTAGACACACCGCATGCTACATGATGCTTTTCTTACCCCTTGGATTTTTTTCTTGATGATTCGTCTCCTGCGTTCAAGAGAGAGGTGGTCGCGCTTGGTGAGAAAGCGCAAGTGAACACGCGGGACTTCTTGAAGACGAACGGGTCCTCAGCAGCAGCAGCGGCTACGGCACTGAAAGCCCTTCGCAATCTACACAAGGCTGGAAAGCTTGACGCACAAATAACCCAGTTCCACGAGCGTGCTGAGCGTGGTATCGTTGTCGATCCAACACCACCTTCGGCGCTGCCAAAATTTATTCTTAACAAGCCCCTTCCAAGCGCTGAACCTGTAGTACACATAGTACAGTTAAGTAACAGCACCAGATCTCACCTTACACTTTGAACTGTATAATTCCTGGCAATAGATAACAGCTTCCGCACTAACGCATCATCTTATATTACAAACAAAGCTGCAACAGCAAGTTAGAAACGACATGCTCACTTATGTTATGCAGCAGCAAAAACTTACCATATTTAATAGGTACTGTGGCCTATATGTAGGTCGTAGATAGTCTTCGGCCGCATCCAGCAGCATTCCGCTCGCCCTTACGGGTTATTTCACTTCACATGATTCATCTACGGGGACGGCAACGGCGGGAGTAGTGTGGCGTGAGTCCCTGGTAGTGATGCCGCGTGCGTAGAGGTGCGACCGAGGCCTTGAGGTCGCAGGAGGGCCGTAGAATTGCGCTTCGCCCTCACCGCTGCGCGCTCGTGGCCGTGGTTTGTAGAATGATCAGAGAGAAGAAATTTTTTTAGTTTTGTTTTTATTATGTGTAATACATGTACCGCGCAAAGTCCGATTTTGAACTGGAAGACCGTACCGGTATCAGGCTGGAACCCGGTCGGACAGTTGGAATTTTGACGGTATGGGAACTTATCACTACGTGACTGGCGGAGTTTGGTCACGTTCTGGAAACGGCAGTGGAGGAGCAGACCCTTGAGTTATGGGGTGATTTCAAGAGGCGACTGTGCGGGATAATACCGCTTCTAAAAAACAACAAGGTGTAGGACCATGGCAGCTTTCGACAACGAATTAAGAGAATCCAGGTAGGACTGGCCAGAAACCTTACCACCACGGATGACGGAGAAGAGTGAAGGAAGCTATTAGTAGCCCAACTACGACAGGCACTGGACCAGCATCGAGCGTTGAAGAAGCGTATACTGCTCAGCAAGGTGGGCTGGGGCTTCTAAGCGTCAACTAAGTATTTCTTTAGCAGGGTATCAACTAAGAATGGCGCTAATATTATCATTACCGCGTCACCCCTGTCCTAAGCGAATGCCCATGTTCGACGTTTACGGGTAATATTACTAGCAAATCTCACAATTAGTGCGTAAAAGTAAAAAATAATCCAAGCTGATCCGGCTGAATGTTCGGCTCGTGAATAACCTGCCTCCATTATTTTTAAGGTGGTCCGCTGATGAGAGCTATTAATAGCATTTCGGTCGAATAGCTCTAGCTATTTGTATGCCGTCGCTCTTCCTATTTCCTCTTTATCAACCCCAATCAGACTGCTGCCTATAATTAGCACGCGGAAAGACACATTAACGTGCAGCCATCTGTTTTAAATAAAGCGCTTCCATTGGCCATAATCGAAGTTCGCTTAGGACAAAACTTCGCTTAGGACAGGGGCGATGCGGTACCTTGAAACAAGGCACGCTAACAGAACTCAAGGGGCCACTTGGCGAAGCTAACATCCTGGCGGACGCGTGATCCAATATTTTAAACCGACAGGCGGGTAAACCTAGATATGTAGGGGGCACCATCAACCAGTACAAATCAACTCGGACACAGGCAAACACGGCGGATGTAGATGAAGCCATCACCATGGGCGAAGTGAGGGTTGCAATCGGGATTTGCAAACACGGTGCGGGCCAAGCGGGTTGGCTAGTAAGCTCTATGTGGATTTCAAAGACCAGTTGGTCCCCATCTTGAGCAGACTTCTTTCCCTGAAACAACATCGAAACAACATTTATATTAGCCAATCAAAACCAGCATTCGCAAATATAGAGAAACAGCGTTCAGTCATAGAAAAATATCTGAATGGGCGAAGCGGACACGGAGACGCGTCGTCCCCTGAAGGGTGAGTGTGGGAAGTCGGTGTCCAAGTCAATCATGGCCAAACAATGCAAGGTTTGCGAGGAGAAGAATGTGCCCAATACGCGCAAAGCTAACAACCGCGAGTTATACCTCCGCAATAAGGATAACATCTATAACAAGCGGCTCGAGCAGCGTTTGTATGACTGTTTAGTGCAGATTTATAATATCCGGTATTATTGTTATTAGGCGCTGTTTCATTCGAGGAATATAAAGAACAAGAACTGCAAAGTTAATTCATTCCTACCTCACATAAAGTTCATATCCTCATTGGATGTCAAGTAATCCCAAGAATAAAGTTAATTCTGACCTTGGAAGTCAGAAAAGCGCTATTCTCCAGAAGTTTAACCCTTTCGTTTTTAGCTGGTGTCATGGACGGTTGCAACGTTCCTGTGGAATTCAATCGCATTATGGTATTGCTCTCCTGTTCGCAATGGAAGGAGATTTAGCTGTTGCTGTGGTTAGTGTGCTTGTTTGTATCATTGTACTAGTTTATGATATCGATGGACGCAGTATGCCTACTGGGAGAGCCGTACAATACACGGTGCGCACGGATTTCTTTCTAAGAAAAAACGACCTACGTCAATACGACGCCAGCTTTCGAAGTGCCTTCCGCGTCGGATGTAGTGCTTCAAAGCCATTGTTGCTTTTGTTAAAAATAAAATAAGTGTACAAAGGAAACCCCAACTGACTGGGTAAGATGCGCGAGTTTTTTTCTGGATGTGAAAGTCGCTTTAGTCCTCTGGTATTTATTTTGGTTCACGTGGAAGCCTCAAGGACGTATGTCAAACATTTGGTGTTAGCTGGCTCCCGAGCTCTATTAATATATTTTATTGCGATAGAGAGCGATATTTTTTTATTCTAGATGCGAATCGGAGGAGGGTGAGGTAGCAGAGGGTTTTGAGAGTGTACAAGGTATTTCTTACATTGTTGGGGGCTATTGACGGGGCGTTTACTAGCCCTATTGCTGCCACTGCCACTAAAACCCTGCAATATACTTGTTTTTACACTTTTTACTCAGCCAAAATGTGATAATTTTATTTTGAACGAATCATGTGGCTTGCGGAAAATCAAGCATATTGCTTATTTTTAATACAATAATTGCAATAATTATTGGTAAACCTAAGCAATATGATATAATATGCTGCGGGGTGCGGAGTAAAACCCGGCATTTATGCATGTACTACATTTTACTGTGGGATATTTATAATACAAAATTCAAGTAAATTCCCGGCAGCAATAGGGTTTAGAGAACGAGACCGACGGCCTTTTGGGGGTTGTATAGCCGAAAATGTTCCACGGCGTGCCATGTCATGGGAATTGTCGACACCAACCAACCTTTAATGGATTCTTCAGTTATCCCGGGTAGCTGCAACGATCAGTCTGTCCGAGTCGCAGTCTAACGAGACCTAAAGTAAGACGCCGTCTACCGGACGGTATGCATTCTATAGAAAAACTAAGTATGAATTGCGTGATCATGTGATAAGGTCCATCCCTCATGACGAAAGAAGCAATTTGACGATCAACAACTATAACAAAGTCATAGTATTGTCGTGGAAATGGCTTTCGGAGCTTTAAACAGAATATTTCAAACTTTGAGACGTGATGTGTGGACAGAGACGCAGAGGACGGCAAGTTAATTGCGAAATGTTTCGTACTACAAAATTTTGCGTTCCTATACGAGTGGAGTACACTTGAATATGTACCTCAAGTCGTTGAGGCTGAGGTCGGCAACTGTATGGAAGACGACATGGTACACCATGGGGACGATATGTCTGGAAGCACATGAGCTTTTCACGTCGACGATGTAGATGCCGCGGTCGAGTTTCTTCAAGGTCAGAAGAACAGAGAGCAAATTGTCAGCTTGCTAGAAAGTCAAAGTCATGATCGTATTTTAGAACGTACCCATTCATCAACAATATAACATTATCCATAACTGCACTTGTGAGTCCTACTGTGTTCATTATTGTCGATGAGCGGCAACAGGCGCATGTCTAGTGGCATTCGCCAATCCAGCCAACGTTCTACTGAGCGTCTGCCTATAAAGGTGGCGACGACTACCCTCGCTATTGAGTTAATCTTGATATTCGCTAGCGCTGCCTTGAAAGCAGCAATATCCAGCTTTTGCGGTTGGGCCGCTTCCTCCCCCATGTGGATAAGCTGTAAGGTAGCCTGCTTGCTTAGGCTGTTTCCGAGTCGATGATCTGGTGCTAGGTGGACTCCGCTTAGGTCCTCGTCCGATTTTGGCCTCCTCCCCGAGAGCCTCATCTGCTGTCCCCCTCAGGTTCAGTATTTTCACTTTCGCTGATCGGCTGGCTGAACGGTTGTCCGTTTAGACCACATAGCATGGGGTCCGTTTGACCGCCTTTCTTACCCCTTTTTTGTCCCGCGCCGCTGCTTTCGCAGTGATTTCTAAGTAAAATTTAGCGCCTCCGTAACCGTGTCCAGCCTTTTCTCCAGTGCAGAGATATTATCCCTTATCTGAAAGTTTAGCTTCTTGCATTTTGGCTAGTTTTTCTTTGTCGAGGTCCCGATTCTCTGATTGTCCAGTAATATGTTGGACAAGGGACGAAACAGATGCTGTCAACATCGATAGCTCACTCGCTTTTTTTGTCTTTTCGATGACGGTATTTTTGAAACAAATACGGACGGCCGTTTGCCGTTTGCTTCCAACGGAAGCCGCGCCACCGATCTGCATCCCAGATATCGTCTATAAAGAGGTATCCCCCGATCACAGCCACTTGCTTCATCCATCTCACTGCTTTTCTCTCCAACAGTAGTTGAGCAAGCCGTCACTAAATATCGCTCGCTTTCAGCTGATGCTTGGTCATTGAGTCTGCTATAGGCGACGGACACGCTAGAAGCATTTCTCAGCAGGGAGGATATGATGGCGCATCATCAGGTTTATACCAGTACGCCAATCTTCTTCACTGAGGCTCTGGTTTAATAAGCAATAGCAGCACATCAATATATGAATGCGACATAGTTACATTTAGAGATATGTGAAATCTAACTTAAGCTGGGTGGTGATTGTTTTAAATCGATTCTGATACGCCTCTCCTGATTGCGAACTCGTCATGCAATTTGCCAGATGTCCTTTTCATCACACTTCTCACGTTGGTTGAAAGCCGTATAAAAAGGCCTCGTCCTTGAAGCGAAGCTGCAGCAACTCGAGTGTCATCAATACAATGGTATTTATAAAGTAATGTTGTAAAGCCGTCAGTAAGTAGCATACCTTCTAAGCTGACCAATTTGTAGAGCGCGGCTTGCAAGATCTCCCTGTGACGGAGATCAAGCCTGCTCATCAGTGCATAACAGCATGTCGAGGCGCTTCTAAAAATCATGTATGTCGTTACAGGCCAATGACACATTACGTTGGACCAGGTACTCAGCGATCCTCGACGACTCCACAGGTCGTCTTAGCACCAAATTAACACACTGTTAGCAGCATTAAGCAAACCAGTATTATCTTCGTACCGGAATACCCAGCAGAACAGCGAGAGATCTTGCGACAGTGAGATGGCGCTCGTATTAAAATGATCAGCGAGACGGCAGTGACGTGGCGCTTGGAGACGAAAGAAAAGGGGGGAGGGGTAACGTTGAGGCGGCGTTTAAGTATGAAGAGGCCATGATAATGGCAGTGAGGTGGTGGCAGCGATCGGAGGCAGCGATTGGAGCGGCAAGGTTATCTGCATTGCTCACGTAGAACCTTTAGACTGAATGCAAATATGCTCAGGTCTATACTAATGCTGTGGATGAGGCCCGAGCTTGGCTCCGCCTCCCACCTTTTCTTCTTCATAGGCTCAACGTCCAGTGGCCATCAGCTACATATTTTACATTAAATTTTACCAAAATTAAATTTTAAAAAATATATAATAAGGCTCTGTTTTGTTTGGGAATAGATTAAGAATATATAATCTCGAATACGTCTTTAAAATGAAACGGTTTGGGAGTAACCCGATGATATTAAGTAGGTTTATTCTGCTGTAAGGCATTAATCCTCCTGTCTCCCTCAAGCCATTTCTTCACTCTCGCCCACTCCTCTACTCCTCTTGTCCCTCAATGGCTCCATGGCCCCAGTTCTACAGAGCCATCATATTCGCGCTTAACCCCGAGAAGATACCGTCGGCTGCGTGCAAGTTTGGAAGCTCCTCGGCCGAGATGAACGATCTCAAGATCAAAACGACAACGGCGTTCAACCCACCGTTTAAAGGTCCCATACGGACGATTTTTCAGAGGATGTTATTGGTTCGCTATCAGAAGCAGAATACAACCGAGAAAAACGTCAAATTCATCTATCTTGATT